AGCCAAATTTGTGTTTCTTTGCCTTTCTTTTTGCTCAAGGGGCAGGGCAGTGTGATAGACACATTTCTGATACCTTCCTCTCTTATGAATAAAAATCCATCACCGTCCCAGTGGTTCTGAGGAAGTGTCATAGCAAGCAGGCATGGCAGCAAGAACATCTGAGAGCTCACATCTTGAGCCCCAAGCAGCAAGTGGAGAGAGTGAACTAGAAATGGCAGCTGGTTTTTAGCTGGGAGGCAGAGGAGGGCAGGTCTCTGTGAGTTCAAAGCCAGCTTGGTCTACAGAGTGAGGTTCATCCCAGTGACCTACTTCCTGTAGTAAATCAGCACTGCCACAGACCAGAGACCAAGGATTCCAGTGCCTGAAACTGTAGGGACACAGTTATCCCTCCCCCTCCCCACCAAGTCCTGTATAGTCTCAGTACCTAACAAAATCTTCCAGGCTCCGAGGACCTTATCAGGTTAAATGATGGCACAGCATCTTTAAAATGCGACCATTAGGCCTGGGAAGATGGTTCAGCAGATACAGGTGCTTGTTGAGCAAGCCTGAGGACATGAATCCACATACCCAGTAGTCAAGCAGAAGGCCACGTATGCTTTTGCAAATGACGGTAACTCGATTGCTGTGCGGGGCAAGGCAGGGGGATCAATAGGGCATGAGACTATGTCTTCAAGAAATGAGGTGGGAAGTGACAAAGCATGATACCCAACATCTTCTTCCTGGTTCTACACATGCTCATAGACACACATGTACCCCCACAGCGCGCACACACACAATTTAATTTTTTTTAAAAAAGAGCTATTACTTCAGCATAAGCCATTCTCATTTAAACAGAAGCCTGGCTGGTGGGGCTGGGGATGTCTCAAAGTATAACTGAGGTTCAATGGAGCTCTTGAGTTACCATTAGCATAATCTGTGGCCATTGGTAGCTCCTGAGTCACATGAGCGTATCGCATGGCCTATTGGTGGAATCTGGCTGCCCTAGAATAAGTCCAGCATCAGCAAGGACAGAGCAGGGTGGGACTGGAAGCAGCTCAGGACCACTGGAGGCGTTCTGGTATGGCATCAGAGGGCTTCACAGCAAAGATCAGAGCCTCTTTAGTATCCTCTTAAAGATGGCTGGGAAGTCCATTTCAGAGCTGTGACAAACTGAGGAGACCCTCCCCACAAAAGCCACTTCTGTTCCCATTTCATTGGGAACAGGGAACTGGTGGAGCCCAGGTGAGAACGCTCCCTGTAAAAGTTTTCTGGATAAAATTGATTGCAAGAAGAGGAAGAGCTGTTCTACAGTCATCTGGGAAATTATTAACCTGATCAGAACGTCTGTTCCATGGTGGTGCCGAATCAGGGAGAACTCAGGAGGGTAGGGTGAATGGCTGGTGACAGGTGGTACAGCCAGGGTTTAAGCTGCTTCTGCTGCCACATTTCTCTGTGGGGAGCTGGGAGCTGTGCTGACTTCTGCACATGTTCTAGCTGTACAGAGAGCTCTTGTGCTTCTGGGTTGCTCTTTTCTCAGATTTGGTGGCCAGATTTGGAACAAACAAGCAGATTTCAGGAGTTTTGTTTTGTTTTTGAAATGCTAGAATTCCAGGAAGAGGCCTCTACAGTACCTGAGTGACCACATGGGTAGACAGTTGGTATTTACCCACTTTTACCTGGAGCAGCCCTGTGCTCACCTATCCACTATGTTAGCATGCCCTGGGAAAGTCCCTTCAGATTCATCTTGATGGCTAAAGATGTGGCTCAGTGCTCAGAGTACTTGCCTAACGAGGCCCTGGGTTCTGTCCCCAGCATTCCAAAAAAAAAAGTTATTGAGTCACTTGGAAAATTGTCTGACAAGCAGTGAACTAGTCTGTCTTGAACTCTTCTTTTGCTCTAGAATCCTGATGGTGTCCAGTGACATGAAAAGTCTGGAAAGGGGACTAATGTGATATGCTGGCTTGTCCTTCATACTCCACACTGGAACTTGGCTCTGTGACCTTGGGGAGTCCTGAGAGCAATGTTCCCACCATGTCAGCCAAGCAGGGTGGAGCTCTGCCAGGGGAAGTGAGCTCATAACATGTGCAAGCTGGGCCTGGGATCACCAGGCAGAGGGTATAGGCCAGAGCCAAGGGGAGGCATTCTTTATCAGTAAACACAAACAGATACAAACAAAATAGAAGCCTACACCTACCAAGAACAAACACATTTATTATAAATCATACATATTCACATTACTATGTTAAGTTATATACAGTATAAAGCAAACAAAATAGATACTTACGGGTAAGAAAAAGACCTACCCAGCAAATCATCTTGCACCTCACTCTGGGGAAACCTAAGATGATGACTAGGAAGAAGCTGGGTGTTGCAGGGAACTGGTAGAGCAACAGGAAAGGGAAAATGGCACTGAAGACAGGGTTGGTGCCGTCTCCTGCTCGGTCATGACTGAGTACTGCCTGTCCTGTTGTGCGTTCAGCAGCTTTCTGTGACCTGAGTCACATGTTTGTTTCTTAAACTTAGCCTCACTGCACAAAAGAAGAAGCTTTTATGTGGCTAGAGTTGTCTCCCGATGCCTGTGAGACACATACTAAAAACCAGAGAGAATGCTTGTCCACACACCCCCGAAAGTTACTTACTGGTCTCTACCTGTGTGATGGGGACCACCTTGTGGGAGACTCTCATCTAGCATCTGGCTTCAGATTAGGTGGGGAGAGCAGGAGGCTCCCCCAGAGTGAGCCTCCAGAGGCCCTGGTCCCAAGGGAACATGTGTGGGATTGCCGCCATCCCAGGGGCTGGCTACAAGTTGATCATGCTAAGAGAGCCCAGAGAGTGTGTATGTGGGGGAGGTGTGGTCAGACATCTCCCCATGAGAGAACTTTATGAACATCAGTTATAGACTTTCAGGCTCTGGACCACCCCAACCCATGCCACAACTGCTACAACCTGTAGCTAGTCCTGCCTGCACCCCAATTTCCCATGTTGTGCTGGACCTAGCCAGTGATCTGTTCACATATTCAAGAGGTACACTCTGTGCTGGGGAGCTAGCTATGCTTATGAAGCTCATGGCCTAGTGGAGGATGGCCAAGAGTAAGCAAGTAAAACAACAGGGAATATCAGTGCAGGTGCTTAGAGAGGCTGTAGACTGAAACAGAAAAAAAGGTGAGGGCCAGGGAAGACATATTTGCTGTAAAGAATTCCAAATCATTTATGCAAATAAGGTTGAGGGTGTGGCTCAGTATCTAAGGCAGTGCTCTCAACCTTCCTAATATTGCTACCCTTTAATAGAGTTCCTCATGTTGTGGGGACCCCTAACCATACAGTTATTTTCACTGCTACTTTGTAACTATGATTTTGCTATAATTATGAATCATAATGTAAATCTCTGTGTTTTCCTATGGCCTTAGGTGACCCCTGTGAAAAAAACATTTAACTCACAACTGGTTGTGACCCACAGGTTGAGAACCACTTGTCTGAGTCTTTGCTAGTGTGCCCAGGGCCTCGGATATGAGCCCCTGCACTGCTAACAGTAACAGCAACAACAGTACTTTATGTGGGGCTTCTTCCACAGAACATAGTATAGATGGAAGGAGGAGAATAATTTGACCACAAAGAAGCCTGATACTAGCATGGCCAGTACAGGACTGAACCATTTCTTAAGACCATGTTGCCGGTGTGTGTTCAGGCTCAGATGTTACAAGAAGGATACTTCCCATTTGTGGTCTTCCTCTTCAAAACCCATAGTCCCAGCCTAATGGCTGGGGGGGGGGGGAATCAGTCAAACTCCCATCCTGGGATTCAAACAATTTCTGACCATGACCCCACACACTACCAAGTTCATCAAAAGTGAGGAAAGTCTGAAAAACTCTTATGGCCCAGCAGAGCCTAAGCTGGAGCTAATAAGATCCTAGAACAAAAAGGACATTGGGGAAGGGAGTGAAATCTAACCAAGTACACAGTTTAGCCGGTACTCACTCAAAAAGAGCTAAGGAAAAGAACAGGTGACGGAGTGACCGTGGCATCTCCAAGGGGATGACATTTAAGCTGAGCACTGGAAGATGTAACTGAGTAACACCCATGTCTGAGAAAGTGAGCCTTTTGAGAGCCAGCCATCAATAAGCCAACCCGGCCAGAGTGGGAGCCAGCAAGGCAGAAAAGGCCAGGGGTGAGATCAGAGGCGGTCAGGGCCAGGCATAGGAGGCGTCAGGCCGGGTCTGCACCGTTTGGATTTCAGCCTGAGTGTGAGGAGAAGGCGTTGGGAGTTTGGAACAAAGGAGGGACATGAGCTTATTTCTACTTACTGTCACTGGGTCTGTGTGGCGAACAAATGAGGACAGAGAGAAAGTGAAGCCAGCTGAGAGATCTGTATGTGCCCGTGGAGAGCACAGGGGAAGGACACCCAGCCCAGGGGTCCTCACCACACGACAAGGACTCCTGATGGGAAGGAATCCCAGGAAGCATAGCATCGCTCTTGACTTCCAGGTCTTTCTGCTCAGTGGTTCTTAATGTTTGGGAAAATAAAAACATATATGGCACTTTAAATCGGTTGGTGTAAATTGCTCTTCCAGAGTTGGAAAAAACAAAATGAGGTTCCTAACTTGCCTCTACCTTCCAGAGGTTGTTAATGGAAAGGGGAAACATGGCCTCTGTCCTGTGAGAGCTGTTTCTAAAGTGTAAAGAGCTGGACTGCCATATGTTATAGCTTCTGAGCTGCCCCCCATCCCTTTGAAAAGAAAATGTGGTAACAATCAGAGTCAAGTATCTTTAAATCAGGAAATAAAACAAATGCTTCCTTGTGTGTTTGTCCAAGTCAGGGCTGGTGTCTTGGTGTTTCTCAGGGGATGGACACGGGCCTGGCCTAGGCGGTTTCTGCTCACATGTTGCTGGTGTCACCCCCACTGTTGAGACTCACTTGGCATGTCTGGGGTGCTTTACACGTGCGTGGTCTAGACCTTGAGGAGACTTCTGAGTCTCGGTCATTGATGCCAGCTGAGCTCACCTGTCTCCATGTTTGCTTCCAGAGATTGAGATGGTGGTCATGGAGCGCAGCAAGCTCTCAGAGCTGGCCACTGCTGGGGCCTCAGTGAGGGAGCAGAACACCACGGACGAGGAGAAGAGCGCTGCCACAGGCTCAGAGAGCACACAGTGGAGCAGGTAGGCAGCAGGGCACTGCTGGGAGCTATTAGACAGCCACTCAGCCTTGGGAAAGGCAAACACCTGGTCATAGCTACCCTGCTCACCAAATGGCTGCTCTACTCGCCTTTGTTCCCTCTGCTTCAGCCTCTGGCCACCCAGAGGCATGAGCTCTTGGGGTGCATAAGAAAAGAACTGACCCTTGACATGTGCTCATACCCTTATCCTTTGGAAAGGTGGCCAGGACGGGACACCACCACTGTGGAACACTTGGCAACTAGGCTGGGTCTAATGTATGGAGACCATTCCCAAGAGGACCCTCTTGAGAGCCAGGCATGAAGTTCCCATCTCTATCCTTGATTGCCATGCTTGCTTACATCTGTAGGGCCTTTGGCACACAATGTGATCTACTGCTGCCGCCTTCCTGGCCCGCCCTGACACTCACCTCAGGGATGGCTCGTGGAGCTGATCTTGAGCCTTACCCTGCTTATTTCCTACAGTTTTGCTGAGGCTCATCAACTACAGCACAGGATTGTTCCCACAGTCTGCAGTGAGCAGCTAGAGGGCATCTTCATGTTAGGGTTGTTTCCTGTCCTTTTAGGCAGCCACACCACACAGACCTCAGCAGCAGGTTAGTGTGTTAGTGTTATGCAGGTACGCTGGTGTGGGGTTTTGGTCTCCCTGCAACATACTGCACTTCTTGAAGCCTCAGGGTGTGGCCAGGAATGTACTCCCTCCACACACACACACACACACCCCATTTGTTAACCCAGTTGAAAGCACTGAAGCATACTTATTTTCAGTTTTTTTCTCCATATCTTATTGGTTAGTGGGTGTGTGGGTGGTGCTGAGGATGGAGGCCAGGCCCTCCATCAAGTAGGCCAGTATCCTAGTTCTTATTTTCTTCTTTGTTTGGATGGTGTTTGGTTGTCTAACAGAGAGGATTAACTTGTAGCAGATGTATAAGAGAACAGTTTTTTTGATTTTGTTAACTAAAAATCATTGGCTAACACATGGTTGTCAGTTGTAACCTGTAAAGGAAGCCTTTTACGCTTTTGCTTAACAGTATGTAACCCCTGAGCTCTGAAATGAAGAAAGTCATTCTAAGCATAGAAGAGACAGGTTAGAAGCATGGCCCAGCATTAGTTAGACTGTGAATAACTGGAACAACCACAAATGACAAACAGTAGAGGATGCTTAAGCAGATGAGATCTGTGTGCTTACAGAACATTAGCTGCTGCTGCTCCTTTTCCTGTGACGCTGCCTGTGACGCTGCCTGTGACGCTGCCATGGTGATGTGCAGGTTTTAGGATCCAGTGCATGGATTCATGATCCTGAAAGAGTAACACTGTAACTTTGTGAAAGTGAGAAGGAACCCTAGACATTCTGTGTGATTATTGGACTCAATGACTCCTTTTTCCCTGCATCTTAGGGGATAGTTGATCGGGTTCTTTTTAACCTCGGATGACTAACTGGTAACTGTGACTGCATGGCTCTCTAATTAGCAGAACTTGACTCGGGTTGGGTATGGGCTGCCTACAGGCCTGAAGCAGCATCCCATCTCCCAGCACTGAGGCTGAGAGCAAGTGAAGAGGAAGATGGCCATTTGTTCCCCAAAACATCAGTTGAATCTTGACATCTTTTCCGCTACTGTGAGAACTGGAGCTACTGTGATTTTCTTTGTATAGTGTCCTGCCTGCACTCAGGATCAAGTTAGACACCCCCCTCCCCCAAAAAAACCATTGTTGTTTTGTTTTGAGACAGTCTTAGTAGGTAGCTCTCCCTGGCTGGCCTGAAATCCACAGAGCTCCTCCCCAGCCTCTACTTCCTGAGTCCTGGGATTAAAGGTGTGCACCACAGGCCCAGCTCAGCAACTTTTAAAAGGTATATAAATTATGCACATCCTAAAAAATGTGAAAAGTCTTCAGAAGTACAGAGAAGAAATAAAAGTCAGTGATCCCAGATGTTCCTATTTTGATTATTTCTTACTAACTTCTTCAGAGCCACTTTTCTGGGCATTTTGCCCCCTTCCCCAGCTCATGCCTGTCATGCTTTATTTCTCCTTTTGCTGTTTCATATCAAATCGCAGCATCTTTATCACATCATTGTCCTTAGTAAACACGTGCTTAGTAGCTTCTTTACACTACTCCATATCAATATGTAAAAGCAGCACGCACACCAAGCCCTCCCTCTGTCCTGTGCTTGGTTAGTCACGTGATTCCCCGTGCAAATACGATCCAAATTGTGAGAGCTGCTCTACAAGAAGTGTTTTACAATTTATGCTGCTCTCACATTTGGCAGAGTTGTTGCTTAAAAAAAAAAAAAAAAAAAAAACAACCTCACAAAACCCAAATCTACACACAAAGCTGTGGACAGGTCTGAATGGAGAAGCCCCATCCTGGGCACTAGAAAATAGAGACTGAATGTCAATGTACACATTGAGGTTTTTTTCCTTTTAATTTTTGTGTGTCCCATGTTTATTCGAAACATGACAAATACATTTCCACTACTTTATTTTCATTTTTCAGCTTAATATTTTGTGTTGACACATGAGGATTTGAGGACTTAAATGAGGAGCTAGGAGTATAACTCAGTAATAGAGCACTTGCCCAGCATGCTCAAGGTCTTCCACTCCATCTCCAGACTGCCCCTCAAAGGCCTAAGATATTCAAGATTGTATGGAAGACTCTGCTGCAAATGGTCTCCTTTGAACAGTCCTGTTTTAAACCCTCAAAATAGTCCATTGCCAATACCCATGTGACTTCTGAGTGTTCGATACATCCTTGTTCACTCTCTGGAGTACTTGGCTTTCTTGACCTCAGCCTGGCGGTGGGACAGCCTCAGATGGGGTCAGAGTCTCCTGCTCCCAGGCCTGCCCTGTGCTTATTCTGTTGTCTGTTACTGAAGAGTCTTGCCAGGCTAGGCCCCACCCTGGAAGGACAGCACTTGGGATGTGGATTCCCCAGGCTATGGCAACTCTTTATATCTTACCCACAGAGCACAGGAGAGATTGGTGAGAGACCTCACCATCAACTCTTCTAGTCAAGGATATTGGCCTAAGAAATTGCTGAGCTAGGACACTGCCCAAATGAAATCATGGAGAAGTATCCTTGCAATATTAAATATAACAATCAAATACAGTGCATGACTCTATGCCGAGGAGGCCCCCCAGTCAGCCTTCTGGCCTGGAATGCTTCTGTGCAGTTAAGGAACTCAGCAGAGGGTTTGTAACAGGAAGAAGCCAGATCAGCACTTGAACCCGGTCAGTCTGACTCCATAGCTGTACCTTTAAACTCACTCATGTGCTGTCTGTGCCTTGCCAGGTAGTGTCGGTCCATTGTATCATCCTGCTTTCCTCTTTATTCTTTCCATCTTTCCTTTAAGGTGAGGATGTGTGCCTGTGCTGTCTCTGCCAGCTGGCAGAGGAGTGCAGAAGAGCGGGGACTTTGTACCTATCATCTCCAGAATCTGAGACACCCAGTGAGGGACTAAGTAGTCTGTTCCTTGGTCACTTTCCCCTCTAAATGGCATCTTTCCAAGGTCAGAGCCCAGCTCTCATTCATATGGATGTGTTCCCAGTACCTGATTCTGGACCAGGCACATATTGCGATCACCACAAACTAGTGGCCTTAGAGCCCAGACCTGTGAGAAGCAAAGACAGCTGATGTCGTCAGGTGAGAGGGAAAATATACACTTGTGCCAGAGGATTACAGACCTCTCCTCTTTTCCAGACCCTTCCTGGATATGGTCTACCATGCCCTGGACAGCCCTGATGACGATTACCACGCCCTCTTTGTGCTCTGCCTCCTGTACGCCATGTCTCATAACAAAGGTAGGCATGCTCCTCGCCTTCTTTGATGTCTGTGACACAGTGCTACGTACGCTCTGTGCATCCTTCCTCTTTACTGATGCAGAGAAAGGGAGGGCACTTTGGGAAAGAATTTCCTTTATGGCCTCTGAGGTAAGTCCTTACAATGCTCTTCTTCAGCCTCATTGCAATTTCTCAGGTGTTTTTCTGCAGACTGAAGCCACAGGCATTGGTGACTCAGGCGTGGTAGTGGGAAATTCAAGTGTGGCTGTCTAACCCAGTGAGGCTGGCTTCCCACTGTGGCTTTCTACAGACCCCTTTCTGCTTTACAGCTAACCTAACCAGCGACCACTTTCCTGACATCAGAGAAAACCAGTCAAATTGGAACCTTGGTTTTGCTATTTATAATACTTGGTGTTCTTGCCGTGGGCTCAGTGCTAAAATAGACCTGGGTGGAAGCATAGGTTTCCTTTCTAAAGAAAGGTGTGGTTCTCCAGCTTCCCTTGCTCAGGCCGTGTGGCCAGGCTCCAGTTCTAACAGAGCTGACAATTCCCTGGCATGCACTAGTCCCTCCCTCAGTGCCCAGTGCTGGGAACAGCTTCTGCTGTTGGCTCACCTGGCTCCCCACAGCCAAGTTTGGAGACTCTCCTCAAGAATATTCACAAGAACTGGAGTTGGCATAGAATGACACATGGAATCAAGTGATACTACAGGAGCTTTGCACTAAGCTTGTTGGGAGTAAATGTCTACTAACTGATGCTTGCTGAGACAGCCTATGGCTAGAGTCATTAAAGCAGAACTAAACCTCAGTGACTCTTCAAGCCTTAGTCATGGAAATTAAGTCAGTTGGCACATGAAAACATCTAGTGGCAAATGCCTCCCTTCTGCTTTGTCCCCAGCCTTCCTCTTGAAGACAGCTTCTGCATCAGTTTCTCACATGCCCTCTAAGGAAGCTGTGCACTCTCAGTTAAGACAGCCAGCTGCACCTGGAGCCATCAGTGGGTGTCCATGTGACCTGCTGCTGGGCCCGCCCTTCTCTCACCATCAAAACTTGACACAGTGCTTGTCATCTTGTGGAAATGCCTGCTGCATGTCTGGGCCACAGCTGGTTAACTAGCAGGAGGCAGCTTCCAGAGTTTCCTTTCTAGAAAGACATTCTTGACAGCTCTCCTCAGAGTAAACCATTGTGCTCATAATGAGGCTAAAGACCTAACCTGATGCCACCGCTACCTCCTCCCTCTCTCCCTCCTCTTCCTCCTCCTCCTGTAGTCTTGGGTAAAGATGGAACCCAGAGCCCCATGTATACTAGCCGAGCCTTCTAGCCTGAGACTTTAAAGAGCATGACAGGCTCCAATTCCTGCTGATGTTGTGCTCATGCCCTCCCCACACGCAGTCTCCTTCCTCCCCTGTGACCCTCCAACACCTGGCCCACAGCCTCTCACACGGATACCATCCATTACTGGGAGCCAAGCAGCTCCATGACAGCTGCTGCTGCCTCCCCACAGGCTCTGTCTGTAGTCAGTTCCTGCCGGGGGCATGCCGGGGGCCTCAGCTCAGTGTTCCAGCACACCTTGTCAGGTTGCGTTCATCCCCATGAGCATACACTCCCTGCCATCCTGTTGCTGTTAGCATTGCCATCCAGAGTTGCAGCCATTGGTACTTTGCTTCCTTTGCTCCTGGCAGTTTCTCATCAGCTTGTCTGTTCTCCCTTTCTGGCATGTCTGATCGGTTAATTTCCCCAGTGTCTCTGCACAGGTCTGTCTCAAGCCAGGGGTGAAGATGGAAACCAAGGCAGGAGCAAAGAGCAAATGAGGCCGGGCTACTGTTCAGTGGTCATTATCTCGGGCCCACGATTGGTTATCAGCTCCTGCTAGGGTCGAGGATATTGCTGTTTTGTAGTTCACCCCCCACAGCACCCTTACAGTGAGACGGCTTTACCTCTCTGTCCTTTGCTCTTCAGGAACATTTAGTTTCTCCCTTAGCCTCCACCCTCCTAGACTTGCTCTGTGGAGTAACAGACAGTACCTGGTTTTCCACCTTGGTTTGGTTTCTAGGACTCCCTTCTCAGACCTCAGGGCAAAGGGCTAGGGTTCACACTCAGGTGCAGCAACAGACCTCTGGTAGAGGTAAGCTTGTACTCACTGAATTCACCCATGTTCCTGTGGATAAGCAATGGAAACTGCCTCTTCTCCATGGAGGCCAAAAAGAAAAAAAGAAAAGTCTATGAGAAGGCCTGGGTGGTATCTCGTAGGAGACACGAAGTTGATGAGAAGAACTGGAAAGGACTGTTAGAAACCTTGGCGATAAGTATTGATGAGCCTTCCCTCAAGGACTCCAGTTTGGTTCTCGTCAGTCCCAAGATGGCTGCAGCTTGGTGCTGTGCCTGACTTTGAAATGTAGAGGGACTTTTTTCTGCCTACAAGTTCCCAATTAATTGACACAGGGACTAAATACTAATTATAAACGCTCAGCTGACGGCTCAGGCTTATTACTAACTAGCTCTTACAACTTAAAATAACCCATTTCTATTAATCTATGTGCTGCCCTGAGGCTCATGGCATTTACCTCTCCACATGTCTTGCTTCCTCTTCATCTGGCTGGCGACCCCTCTGACTCTGCCATTCTTCTTCCCAGAGTTTTCTGTGTCTGGCTGTCCCACCTATACTTCCTGTCTAGCTACCAGCCAGTCAGCTTTTTATTAAACCAATCTGAGTGTAATGTACAATAGGATCATTCCATAGCAGGTCAGTGTTGGCTGGGGATGGTGTCACAGCACATAGTGGTCCTAGGCCCCAGGCCTGTGCCTGGGACTCTTCTTTGGACGCTTAGGAACCAGCCTAGTTAATGCCAACACAGCACCTGTTCCCAGAGGGTTTGTACCTTCTTGGACTCACTCGTAGTCTTTCTTGATGTTTTCTCTTTTCCTAATCACCACCTGTCGAAGTTCCTCTCAGAAATCACCGTCTCCAATGTTCTTTCCAACTCTCCTAGGTGACACCCCGGGTTAATGCTACCTGTTGTGAAATTTTTGGACATTGTAGGATTTGACCTGTTTATTTTTATTTTTTTTTTAAGGACTTTTTTTTTTTTTTTTTAAGGCAAGGTCTTATGCATCCCAGGTTTTTGTAACTAAGAGTGACTGTGAACTTCTGATTCTCCTGCCTCCACCTCCCAAATGCTGAGATTACAGGTGTGCACCATCATTCCTGGTTTAGGCAGTGTTGGGGCCTCGTCTGAGCTATGTTAATACTCTAACAACTGAGCTAGATATGCATCCCTCCCTGTTAAGGGTTTTTACGTCTGCATCCATGAATAACACTGATCTAGAGACTTCTTGCAATTCTCTTATCTAGCTGCACTATAGTGATGTACCCTAGAGTGTAGCCTGGGAGGTAATTCATCCTCCTTAGTTTCTTGGGAGATTTAAAAAAAAAAAAAAAAAATGGGGCTGGAGAGATGGCTCAGAGGTTAAGAGCACCGACTGCTCTTCCAAAGGTCCTGAGTTCAATTCCCAGCAACCACATGGTGGCTCACAGCCATCTGTAATGAGATCTGGTGCCCTCTTCTGGCCTGCAGTCATACATGTTAGATACATAATAAATAAATAAATCTTTAAAAAAATTTAAAAAAAAAAAAAAAAGAAGCTAGCATTATTTCTTCTGTAAGTGTTCTTTGAACCAGTGGAGCCATCTGGACAAGGTATTTTCTATGAGGAAATTTTTTTAGTTTTGATATCAATTATGTAGCCTAAGCTAGCCTCAGACTTGCAACCCTTCTGCCTTAGCCTTCCAAGTGATAGGATTACAGGTGTGCTCCACCACACCCAGCTGAAGGACAAATTTAACCACCAAATTCCTCTGTGGAGATGGTAGATTATCTCTTTCCTTTGAAGTGAGTTTTGGTGGTTTGCACCTTTCAAGGAATTTGTCATTTCATCTAAACTGTAAAATGTATGATCATAAATTTGTTCGTAGCTCTCCTCTGTCATCTTGTGTTGTCTGTAGGGTCTCAGTCTGTGGCCCTCTCTAGTTTGTGGTATTGATAATTTGGGCATCATCTTTTTTTCTGACCACTTTGGCTAGAGGATTATCAACTTTTCTGATATTCTAGATGTTTTTCTTGTTTCACTGATTTCTGGTCTTAAATTTATTTCATACATTCTGATGCTTCCTGCATATTTAATTTCTCTTTCTTCTATGGCCTCTTAAAATAGAAGCTTAGATTATTGGGGTATGTGTGTGAGATACACTCACCTTCCACCTTGTTTGAAACACAGTCTTTTGTTCACTGCTACATATGCCAGGCTGACTGGTCTGCAAGCTTCCAGGGTTTCTCCTGTCTTGGCTCCCATTCTGTCCTAGGAACACTAGATTACAGATGGGCCCTGCTGCACCTACCTTTATATGGACCTGGGGAGCCAAACTCCAGATCCCACACTTAGACTGCAAGCACTTCAACCTTTGAGCTGTCTCCCGAGCCCTATAGCATTGACGGTGTAAGATAATTTGTTTTATTTCTTACATTACCATAGTGTAAAATGAACTGATTTTTTGCATGTAAGTTGGTGGATTTTAGCACATCTTGCCACAATCAGGATGCCTTACACTCCAAAACACCCCTTTTCTCAGTCCTCTTCAGCCATCTTTCCTTTCCAAATGGTCATTAATTTTTAATCCTTCTCTTTTAAAATAAGAGTTTATATTATAAATTTTGATCTATGCAATTTATATGCATTCAATTTGGACACTCTATAATTGCCTTTCTGGTTTATTGTTGTTTCTTCTGTTGTCTGTAGAACTTCTGGTTGCTTCTATCATTGTTTTGGTTTGGTTTTGGATCATGCTGTCCCTTACCATTTTTGTTGCTGTTCTGCTTCTGGTAGTGTTGGATTATTTGGCAGTTATTACTAATTTTACTGTAAGAAGAATTGCTAAATGGTCTTATTAATAAAAAAAACAAAAACAAAAAACAAACAAACAAACAAAAAACCTGGAGCCAGATATTGAGGTGAATGCTGAGAGATA